TAGGGTGAATACATCTCATTACACTGATTTACTGGTAGTCTCGAAACCCTACTTTAATACGAATAAAAGGTGCTATGCTTTCGTCCGTCATTTGACGGACATCACCAGACCAAGGTAACATCTTCACAACAAAATTCAAGCTAATGAGTCAAGAAAACTCACCGACAAATCCCTAAAAGTGATCAAAGAGGCCAGATGTAGAGTATATATACCACTTTTTAGGAAGTGCCGGTGAGATTTCTTGACTCGTTAGCTTGAATTTGGTTGTGATGATAATACCCTTGATGCTCTGATGATATTCGTCACATGACGGACGAAAGCATAGCACTTTTTCACCCGAACCGAAGGAGATTGTCTCGTAAACAGCGTCAGCATGAATGTTCCAGTAAAGCCAATCGACAACTGGTCAAGAGGAATCCGCCATCGTCTTCTTAACCTAACACTTTCACTCGAAATGGGAGTAAGCTCAACAATTATGAAACAATAGATTCATCGAAGTCCAACTTTTCTTCGCATATAGCGCACAATCGTCGAATGTTGAATCATTTTTGGGCCTCTGCTATTGTCCATTGTGTGTATGTGATGCTCATGCATATTCGCATAGTCTCTTCTGTATGTTTTTATGTTCCATTTTCTCAGTAGTTCACCCAACTTTTTTGCAAGCTGACAGGAAGGAAAAATCAGAAACCAAGTAGAATTGTCCAGTTTTCTATTCAGCGCCTGATACCAAACTCCCTTAATCTTGTTAATCACAATTGATATGTAATTGTCTATTAATCCTGGTCCCTATGATTTGCGTCTGCTAGACGCTGATTCCTTATTATCATAGACTTCATAGCTCCTATATTACCTATGTGTGATTCGAGAAGAAACTAATAATAATAAATAAAATAAATGAAAACACTAATTTTACCATTAATTATAAAGGGGGCTAAATAAGATCCCATAGCCAAATCCCATGTATGCACATATAACTTACCATTGAAGGTAGAATATATATAACACATTGCCAAGTTGACTATTCTAATTATTGAATCTTTGCTTAACTTTGTATCTGTCGTGATTTCAAGATTTGGTTATGGGATCTTGTTTAGCCCCTATTTTAGCTATTAACTACCTGACCCAATTAGGAGTCTGCGAGTTTCAAGAAGCGATTACTTTGCTGTTTGGCAACACAACAAAAATATTTTGGGGAATTCCTGGAGCTAATAAATGGAATAGATGCAAACGCTAAGTTGACCATGGAGTTATAAAAGTAAAATTAATTGGCATTTTGGATGTATTTGTGAAACTAGCGTACGATCGTCGGATATTGAACCATGTTTGGGCTTGTGCTAGTGTCTATTGTGTCTATGCCATTCTCATGTCATGGGGAGTATGATAGTCACTAGCTAGACACGAGGCTAATCTAGCCTCCTCTTGCTCATGCGTATAGACTAAAAATAAGAGTTATGAAGCCCTTGGTACTGGTAGTCTCGAAAGCCTACTTATATGTGAAAAATAAGTAGGACCTATTTGTGGCTGTTGAATAGACTAAAGGCAAGGGAGAGAGAGAGGGTGCAGGAAGAGGCAGTGAGTAAGGGAAGGAGGCTGGATTGGCCTCGTGTCTAGCTAATGACTATCATACTACCCATTACATGAGCATTGCATGCATACAGTAGACACTAGTACGGGCCCAAATAAGATTCAACATCTGATGATGATACGCTTGTTTTTTGTGTCATGAAACAGTTGCCACCGAACGCACTTCCGGTTCGGTAAGTTAACTTTAATATAAGATGTTTCACCCTATTTCTTTTAAGATGAATTTACTCACAGTGATATGAGTAGAGCTGACATTTTAATTGAATTTCACATAGCCTTGCTTTCCCAAAAGTTCTTCTCTTCCAGGCTGGACTGCAGTTTCCTCCTCGTCTAGGTCTTATCAACACCCCCAACTGGTGTAGAACCATGACAGTAGAGCATGTGGGCTTGAAACTTTAGCCACTCAGCCACATTGTAACAAGTGCCCTTTGGTCACAGGGCAAGTGTGAATTACAAAGAAGACCAGGCCTTTTCCTATATTACATTCTTTGATTGTTTTCGCAAATTGGTCAGAGCGTCAGGGAGACCTTGTGGAACGTACCCAGTATTCGTGATTTCCGGCATCGTCATTGTGAGGCGCCATCGTGAGCACACAGTTACACTTTATCGAAATGACAAGTGAGAGAGAGCAAGGAATTGTGTGAATAAGTGGATGGGCGATATGAAGTGGGGTTGAGAGAAAGAGATGCGGCACCAAAAGGTAGAACAAAAAAGGGGGGCGAAAAGTGATGCCGGAACGGTTGAATAGAAAATTGGCCTTTACTTGTCGCTTTGATGAGTTGTAACTCTGTCCTTACGATGGCGCCTCTCACTGACAATGCCGGCGAATCGTTTGGGAATGTACCAAGTCAATGGTCCAGTGCTGGAAACCACGAACACTCTGGCTACGCTCCATCAGGTTTCACTGATTCTGCGACCAAGTTGCGAAAACAGGGTCGAGCCAAAATTATGAAGCTAAAGAAGACTGTGACCATTTTGTTCTTCATATCTACAGTCCTCCTTCGGTTTCCGGTGAGACTACATCACGAATTGCTTCCAACCAACTTTCCCTTCTAAATGGAGAGTCATTACACAATAATTTATTAAAGAATTCTTCGAAACTCACTTTTATTCATATCCTTGCTGACCAATTTTTCTTCCCGTTAACCCTATCTCATATTCAGCCTTTTTGAATATGTTGATGTGATTCATATGCCGAAAATACTTTCTTTTTTAGATAAAAAAGCTGGAAGGTGAGAATATTGCCCTTAAGGATGAATGCGGCGAAGTAAACGAGTTGAAACATTTAAACGAACAGCTCTCTCGTCGCTCCGAACAGTGTATGGAACAGCTGTCCTGCCTTAAGAGAGAACTAAACTATATGGTAAGTTATTGCTTTCCCAATTGTGCGAATCTTAACAAAACGCCAAACGGCATCTGGCTTGTTCCTTACATTTTTTTACTCCTGGAAACATGTCAGAGTTGGGTGCAAATGAAGATGAGGATAAAGATACTCGGTTGCTACAATTTGCGATAGTGATAATTTAATGTTCAAGTTATCATGTCTCCACAGGAAGACTTCAGATTTTCAAGGCTTCGTCTGATTAGTTACGATTCAATTAATCACTTTGCTAGGTTGGCCGTGCGCTCTTGCTCTACAGACTTAAGTAAGTATCAGTTCCATAATAAAACATGTTTAATTTAGTACTTTGCTGACATTCCTCAGGGGTTTACTGCTTGCAAGACGCATTCCTTTATCTCTAATTAACGAATACATCTTCTGTGAGTGTGCTTATGAGCATTTTTAGTGATAATTAGTTCCAAAGTGGAGCCTCTCATTTATCGCATCCTTTGTTTTCGATATCTTTTCAACGTCTTCACTAGTTCTACTTCATATTGAGACGGACTTTGTTAATATATGCAGAGAAGCTGGGTTTCGAAGAATCCCTTAAAATATTGATGTTGACGTAGCCTTCATTTTGTTTGAGAAGGAGGGTCGAAAGAATTCGTAGATTGGCCGCACCGGATGCTGTAGGAAGGTTGCCTTGGACTTTTGTCCGTTGAATTGTGTGGAAAAGACCTCGACTCACCGTCCTACGAGCCCGATGACTCGGTGCTGAGCTTTCATCCGCCATGTGATGGACATCATCAGAGCCAGAAGCCAGTATACACGAAAGTCACCAATAAACACTAAACCAAGAAAGGTGGTCGTCAACTGGGAGCCTACTTCTGCTAGTTGTACCTCACTTTGCGATCTTCATGGGGCATTGTATGATTTGCTTTGCTGCTTTCTGCTTGTCCTATATGCATGCAGGAGAGGGAGCGGATGTGGACACAACTTTTGTGGATGTAAATAAACTAGCGTATGATCCTGTAGTCCCGGGTCTTGTTAGAGCTTTGTGAATGCGTGTTTGCGTGTGTATGCAACGGCCCTGAATTAGTTGACAATTTTTGGTTCGAAAATAAGCTCTAATT